TCAGACCTTAACCAGTCTTTATGTTTGTGTTTCTTCCAACAGATTTTTGGAGTAGTGCACACCAGCAGCATCATCACCTTCTACAACTAGGGATTTTTCAATTGCGTTTCAGGTAAGAATTTAGCAATTGCCAATGAATCAAATTGGTAACTTATTTTTTTATTTGTTTTTGGCCTACACCCATGCTTACACCATCTTGTAATGATATAATTATTAATACACCATGGCTCACACTAATCACGGATTCGGTACTTATCTCCAAGCGTGACTATGATGAGGGACTTCGGTCTAGCCACTTAAACGTATAATTATTTAATAATATAACAGATAGAATTTAGATGTGTAGGTTTTAAATGGTAACGAAAATATAGTTTGTAATAAAATTCCCGTCAAAGTTAAGTTATTTAAAAACTTAGTACGCATATATACTTCAGAACTTAAGGAAAAAAAATACAAATAAAATTCCATACTTGATGATATGTTATTTTTATTAGAAGTTAAATATAATTAAATAAAGAGAACGGTTTAATTTTATTTGTTTTAATAAGAATAAATGAAGGGCGGAAAATAATTTTAATTTTTTTTTTTTAATTTTAACCTACCTCTTATGTATGTGGTACGTCTACGTGGCCTTTTAAGTTTTATATATAATAATTTTGAGGTAGAAAAATAAAACTGAATAATTATTATAATCATTATTTTTGATGGAAATAAAAATAGTAATAATAATTTCTTTTGAGTGAAAACATAAATCTATTATTATACTAGTTTACACCAAAAATGTTTTATGGATGCCACTGATCTAAATTATTTTACTTATAATGACTACGGTCCCCGTTTAAACTTAATACGTCCAGTTTTAAACTTAATTATTTGTTGTTAATGTAGACAATGAACAGAATATCCTGCGCCTTGTGCCATTCAACGTGGGCAAGTACGAAGCTGAGATTTTTTAGAGTCCCTAAGGAAGAAATAAAAAAGAAAAAATGGATTGAGGCGTGTGGTGTAGAACTGCAGCCAAATGCAAGAGTTTGTCAGCTTCATTTCGAAGATGAAGACTACGAGATAGATGATTATGGCCAACGTAAGCGTTTATCAGGAGTAGCAGTTCCAATGAAGGTGGAATATTTAAAAAGTTGGGATGAGCCAGGTGGCAAATTTAAGAACTCGTCCACTCAAACAGAGTACGTTTTATGTATAACATTTGATACGTATGTATGTGCGAATAAAACTTTTATGTAACAGAACCGTCATCGAAAGCAGTTTCCAACGGGAAAACGTCGCCTTGAAAAAGCAAGTTGAAAAATTGTTGGTTGAGGCAGCTAAAATGAAGGCGGAAATCGAGGAGCTTAGGGCGATGCGGACCAGTTTCCGTTCTGTTTTTACCCTGAATCAAGTGCGAAAACTAGAAACTCCCAGTAGACAAATGCGGTGGAAATATGAGGACATAGCGTGGGCATTGCCATTGAATGCAGCGGGCCCAAGGGCATATACTCATTTATACCGGAAAGGATTTCCTCTGCCTTCGGAGTCTACATTGGCGAGGTGGCTGCAAAAGCTAAAGTTCGACGACGGAATTCTACACTTCGTTATAGACGCAATGGAGGCCGTGAATGAAATAGAATTGGTAGACAGGCTTTGTGTTTTGGTATTTGATGAGATGAAGATTGCTTCGGCCTTTGAACATGATCCTCTCACGGATACTGTGAGATCGCCGAAGAAGTATGTTCAAATGGTGATAGCTAGGGGACTTAAATGGTCCTGGCCGTCTTCTATGCATTTGACTGCAAAATTACAAAAAGTATAATAGAAGAAATTATAGTTAATCTCTCTCGTGCTGGCTATCCCGTAGTTGCAGTAGTATCCGACATGGGTACAGGAAATCAAGGGCTGTGGCGAGAATTAGGAGTTTCCAGGGGTACAGTGTTCTTTATATAAGCAGAAAAATAGCAGTAGCTTTTAATAATTCTGTTTTTGTATACTTTTAGAAAAAACATGGTTTCCGAACCCAGCTGAAGAGCAAGACAAAATTTTTGTATTCGCGGATGCTCCGCATTTGCTAAAGCTGATTCGGAACCATTTCTTGGACGATGGCTTTGTTTTTCGCAACAAAATAATATGTCCTCAAACGATAAGTCAAATTATGCGCTGCACATTTGCATCAGATCTGTCAATTTCACATAAATTGACAGAGAAACATTTGACAGTTCACCATGCCGGTCGCCAAAAGGTAATGCAGCGTTTTTGCTGCATTTAAAATGCAACATTTAGCACTTTCGAACATATGTTTTCGAAGAGCGTTCATGCTATAGCATTTAGCAAAAGTACATTTACGCGAGTTCGAAATCGAATGCTTTTGACAAACAGCCGTGTTCCAGTCTCTTATTTAGATGCGTATATATTACGATCAATTCTCACGCAGAAGATAATGTGCAAAAACCCTACTGGAAAGGGAAAAATAAATTTTAAACCAAAAATTCAATACAAAAACTTGAATTGTTTTAACCATAACCGAACATTTGTTTGTGTATATATTCATTTGTCGGTGCTGTCAATTCATGATTCAATAATAAAAGGTTTGCTCAAAAAGCAGTTTTCTCGCTCCCTCTTAACAAAATCGTCTCCCTTAGCAAGGCACTGTGTGTGGGTTCGTGTGTGTGTGCAAAGCTTTTGTAAGGGAGCTAAGGGAGTGTCAAAACTCGAATGTCAATAATGAGCAAACCTTTAATTATTGAATCAAGCTGTCAAATTAAAATTTCCTCACTTAATTAGGAAACAAACCAAACAGAGTTGATCACAAATTGATCCAGATTTCTATCAGCATCAAATCGATGTTGAATTTGCTTAACTTTACTTTATCCAAATATGTAATGCAAAATAAAAGAAATCTCGATCGGCGATCACTGAAATGCAGCTAGCAACTGTATACTCGAAAAAGCAATGTGGCCACTTTTTCTCTTTAAACCATGTTCGAATCGTGGAAATTTTGGAAGATCACAGGGTTGCTTTTAGCATTTAGATTCTTAATGCAAAAATGGAGTTGCATTTAGTTGCATTTAGGTGACGAATTTTGTATGGATAAATGTACATTTAGAGTAGCATTTAGAGCTAAATGCGCTAAATGTGCTTTTACGCGTAAGCAAAAACAGCCTATTAAATCGAATTGAAACTTTTAACCGTGCTACTATAAATCACATTTTGAATGCGAGTTAAGAGTTGTTGAATCGTGTTAAGAGTGCATATTAACACGGGATTTGAGCACACGGTTGTTTCATGCAACTCTGTATGAAGTAAAACATTTAAATAGTTCTTGAAATTACATTTAGACTAAGCTTTCCTAAAAAAATAATAGCTAATATCCTTTTTCATGGCTGTTTGGAACTTTAATTATTATTTTTTCATGTTTATTATTTTCAAGAAATGACACATGCATTAACAGGGTCGCATCGGGATGAACTCTGTTTGGAAGCGTGTTCGATCGACTCATTTCTTTTGTTGCATATAAACACTTTCATTTCAAGCGAGCTACACTGACACGAGTTAATTCTATACCGAGTTTGATGCCATATAAACAAGGTAAATTACTAGCAACGTGTTCATGTGATAAACATTAAATTCGGTCCGCCCATTCCGACGACCCAATACGCGTAAAAGCACATTTAGCACATTTAACTCTAAATAATATAGATTGGCGCTTACACATATGTTAGTGTTTGGCCGAGCTTCTCCTCCGATTTGTGGCGTGCGCCTTGATGTTGTAACACAAAGCGGAGGGACCTACAGTTTTACGCCGACTCCGAACGGCGATTGTATTTTTATGAGAAGCTGTTTTTCATGGCAGAAATACACTCGGAGGTTTGCCATTGCCTGCCGAGGGACGACCGCTGTTAAGAAAAAACCTTTTTCTATATTTTTTTTTTTTTGCGATGTTGCTTTGACCAGGGCTTGAACCCAGGCGTTGCGGAGTGGAAGCGCGCACTGCTTACCACTACACCACAGCGCTAAATGCTACCCTTAAAATAAAAGAAATCTCGATCGGCGATCACTGAAACGCAGCTAGCAACTGTATACTCGAAAAAGCAATGTTGCCACTTTTTCTCTTTAAACCATGTTCGAATCGTGGAAATTTTGGAAGCTCACAGGGTTGCTTTTAGCATTTAGATTCTTAATGCAAAAATGGGGATGCATTTAGTTGCATTTAGGTGACGAATTTTGTATGGATAAATGTACATTTAGAGTAGCATTTAGAGCTAAATACGCTAAATGTGCTTTTACGCGTAAGCAAAAACAGCCCATAAGCCTTGCCTCCCAGCTGTTTTCCCACACCACAGCTAGCGTTATAAGGCGATGTTATCAAATGGGTGAAGAGCTTTATAATCCGCTAGAAACAGCTGACTTCATTGACGACATTAATGTTTGGTTCGACTTAATGAACACAAAGATGACCACGATACAAACTATTCCTTCGAAGAGGCCATTTGGGGTAGATATGGAGCAACAGACGAAAGTTTTAGAAACAATGGACTCCATTGCCCTCAATGCAAAGGTAACCAGTAGGAGAACGCTTCTTCCTTTCCAGAAAGGAATTTTGATGAGCAACGAATCTCTACGGTCGTTGTTCTATTGTCTGCAAGAAAAATTTGGTTTGCGGTATTTGCTAACCTATCGGCTGAACCAAGATGTGTTGGAGAACTTTTTCGGTGCAATGAGGGCGAGGGGTGGGTTGCACGATAATCCAACACCGATGCAATTCAAATACCGGCTTCGAAAATATCTTCTTGGTAGGATAGGCTTATAAAAGATTTTTCTGTAATATATTTAATTAATATGCGTATTTTGTACCTTTCATGTAAAATTTAGCACAAAACACAGCACTCCTCCCTGGAAGAGGAAATGTTGGCGAAGATGATACCAACTGGCTTCCACTGAGAGACATACCTCATTGTGACTACATCTCGGAATATCTAGTCGAGTCTGACGCCTCCATCGTCTCCGCAGATGATTTTAACATAGAGAGCGACATAGACCAGTTCCACGAGGACGCGGTCGAGTATATAGCTGGCTATTTTATCCGCAAGCTTCATTTAACTGGTATGGAGTCCACGGACAATACGTTCACTTGGGTTGATGAATTGTCGAAAGGCGGTTTAATAAAGCCTAGTTCTG